ATGCCATGTTTACTTTGCTACTTAGAGCCGTTGTTGTAGCTTAAAGCCGCAAAGTGGCTTCGCTTTCTGGAAATTTTAAATGTTTGGTCTGGCTAAGTCCCCGAAACACTCGCTACACCCACGCTACTTCTGAGTGCTTAGTGTATTATTTTAAGATTTGATTGGCCTGTCCTGGGATTATGGCTCTGTGTCATGGTGGATCTGGCTGCCTCTGGTTCTGTCGCTGACTTCGTTCAAGATTCGTGTTTGGTTTTTGTGTTTGCTCAATTCAAAGGGCTCAGTAGCGTTCATTGAAAATTACTTATTTTTGGAAAGAAAATTAGCGAAATTATAACATTAATAGCTCATACGCTATGTAAAAGCTTCTAGGTGAATTAAAAAAGACAACAAGAAAGAAGCTAGTTTCAGCGAGCTGAAGCTGATATACCCTTGCTGTCATCACAAATATATAGTAAGAAGTTTTTTTTAAGAAGATTTAACAACTAAAGTGTAGTTTAGTGTGTAAAGTGTTCTATAAAGTACTTTTCTTGCTTTGCGATAACTTTTTTATATCTTTTATTGCTAAGTGTCGAGCAGAATGCATGGAGGCCTAATAACATGTAAGCCAGATTTTTTACTAATTTCCTATAATGTTACCGATTATACCTAATTCAGCTAAATGATATGTTTATCCAACGTATACATATATGAATACGTATTTTACTTATCGATATATTTAAGATAAACTCATTTCTCTTAGAGTCTTAATTTAAACCAATACTTTTTCAAGGACAATTTTGTGACCTTACCCTTAATGGTTTCTCCACACTTGCAGCTGAGTTTCTTAATAAGTGTTTCTATGCATAGATTTAATATATGTTTTTATTTATTTTCACTTACAGAATAAAGTTGCGCTTGCTTCGCTTCGTAACTGCAACGCTTCAAAAAATTTTTGTCAAACGTCAAATACGTCATAAAATAACCAGTCTCCTCTGCTGCCAACAATCGGTTTTTGGTCCCTTACGGAACTGTTATCACGAATCAAGATTATTAAATAAAAAGTTTAATTACCAAATAATTTCTTTATTTCAAACAAATGATTTCTTTTTGGAAGCTTTTGATTTAAAAAAAAAAACTCTTTTTTGGCGCAAGAACAACACTACAGGAAGCGCTAAATGATGGAAATGTTACATATAATCAACACGCCGACAAACTTTAGGATGAATTACAAAACGGACACAGAAAACTGCGCGCATATACATATAGGTATAGACATTTGTTAGGGAAGTAGGTTTAGTTTATAACTCCACGTCACTTGGCGCAGACGTGTCAAAAGTATGTAAATTTTTAAACTGTAACAAAAAAGTGTATTTTTGATGTTGATTGTTTTTTGTTTTCGATTAGTTACCCTGAAGACGGTTGCCGAGGAGCAACCGAAATATATTGGTCAAAAAACATAAATTGTGTTTTAAATATCACCCAGACCTTGTGCCGGCAAAACACCAAATAAAACCTTTTTATTTAAAAAGTTCCAACTTTTTTTTTATCATGGCATACAAATCTGATACACTAAAATAAATACAGTTAAACGAAAAATTCTCCGTGGTAACGATACCTACACCCTTTTTTGGGACTCAGCGGACTTCGGTTTTTTTGGGTTTTTCAAATTGCAACTTGATAGCGGCTAAAGAATTGGGGCATTGCCTATTATACCCCCTCGTATACACTTTGCGGTTTGACTTCATTTTACCCTTGCAGAGTAAAGGGTATCATAATTTAAGTCAGAAGTTTGCAACGCAGTGAAGGAGACACTTCAGACCCCATAAAGTACATATATATAATATATATTATAAATCAGCATCACGATCTGAATCGAAATACGTGTGACGAAAAAATTATAACGTCGTTGTTTTTTATCCCACGAGCATCATTTTTAGAGCATCAAGTTTTTTACTTCCCTTCAATCGAGAAAAAAATTTCATAAAAATATTATATATGATATAGTTCATATAGAAATTAAGGAAAAAAATAATAACGTCGTTGTTTCATCAGACAAGCATAATTTTGAGAATATATGACCTTGAATTTCGAATAAAATTTCATAACATGACAACTATGTCATATAGCTGTCATATGAACAACAGTCGAAAATATGGAAAATTAATAGAAAAATTGTCATAGTTACAATGTTGTTTAGTCTTTATGTATTTTGTTTGATATGTTTGATGTCTGCAAGCTTGTTTCCTTTCTTGTTTTATTTTATGAGTGCTCGATCGCCAAGATGGAATAGATCGTTGAGATGAAAAAGTGACCAATGTTGCCTAAGCCACTCCAGTTCGTCAGCATTTGAGAGTATCCTGCACTACCGGTCAGATTTGTTCTTGAGTTATTTCGGACTCTCTTACTAAAGTTCTGGGGGATACCTTTTCGGCCAAGGTATACTTTGCATCCCAAAAGATTCTGGACTCTTCTCAATCAAATTTAATTGTTTAATGTTGGTAACGTGGTCATAGTACAAAGTAAAGCGTTGTTGCGCTAGTACTCTTCGATCGAGTACAAGTCTACAAGAATTAAACAAAACAAATTCATTTAATGTATCATATGTGCCATTTTTACATTGTCCGAATGTACGATTGTACTACATGCAATAGAAAAACTGACGTCTCGTAAGAGATGCGGATCAGCAAATCACTCGATATGCACTTATTTCTGTATGTATGTATCTTTTATGGTTGTACGTTCGTAAACCCTTAAAGAAAATTATAACACCTTCTTCTACGCGGTTCAACTTTTCAGCTGTACCCTACTTTTCAGTAACTAAAACTCAATTAAATTGTTTAAAAACTCTTCCCACATTGAAATGGTAGATATTTTGGTGCATTAAAAAGTGTTTTCCATAATTTTTTACGGCCCATATTAAAGCGCATAAGGGCGAGAAAAAACGAATTGATAGCGCGTCCAGTTCATGCTCGTTAAAAATCAATCCCCTGTGGGAGTGAGTGGGTCGGTCCGGCAAAGGTGTAGCTGTCTGTCGCATCGCCCCACCACACTCGTGGTCAATATGCGCGACTATAAGTCTATATAAGCGCCGAAGCTGCCGTCATGCTGGGGATATCTTTTGGTATCTATGTACATTGTGCCTCTGTTGGGATTTCGGGCTTTTGGATGAATGTGTGTAACTGCGAGCTGTTGTGAATATATTGGAACTTGTTTTGTCATATCGTTGCACCTCTTTAAGCCTGCATTGTGTTCGCTACAATTCCAGCTTTCTACCTAATTTCTAAGAACCAAAGTATTTGAACAGTTTTTATTCAATAAAGAGTAAATCCACTCAAATCAGTGATTCATTAGGATCATTAATGCAGATTAAGATTGGACCCTTTTTTGAGGAGGGCATAGGGCAGTCGCTTTGGCCTGTTAATTTAAGATTTTTTAGTCATTTTGCCCCTGCAGAATCGCCACCAACTGAGGCGCAGTGAAGCGCAACATCCACGCGACATTTCCAATCTACGCGGCATCTGTATGGCTATGGCCACGTCCATCGATGTGACCGTGGCCGTGACTCTAGCCCCAAAAAATGTGTCCAATGTAACGCCACAACAAAGAACGTTAATTGACGCCCAAATGTTACCCAATAAAAAGGCAAAAAATTCGAGCGAAACTGAAAAGAGGCAAATCGCCAACGAAGCGGAGCATCTGAAAAAGCAAATTGTCCGGTCGGGCACAATTTGTGGCAGGACACTAGCCCCATGTCTTGACGGGGCTTGGCGAATTTAAATGCTGCCCCAAAACGACTCAACCCCTCTCGACCGAATCCGATCTGATCCGACCTGGGCCGCCGACCCAACCTGAGGTTCAAGTGGCTGTATTAACCCTTGGGAGGTCACCGGGGTCCGGTTACCCTGTCCCCCGGACACCCCACTTCGGCTGGCCACAGAGTGGGCGTTGTTGAATCAGCACACGTGATTAATGGCCTTTAATTATGTCAAAGCGCGACGGAAGCCTCCGACCAGGACCCGAGTGCAACGGTACGCCAGTTAAACGCTTGACATTAAAAAATTGACACCGTTTGGGGTGAAATGTCGGCGACGTTTCGGCCCTCCTCTCACTCCTGGCCACCCCACTCCTGTCCTGACTGCCCCACTCCTGACCGATGTTTTTGCCTGTGACAACTGTCTGGCACACGTAACCGAGTTCCCTGCGAGTCCGCTTGTCTTCTCGGCCTGCCCGAAACAAATTTAAAACACACACCCGCACAAGCGGGGCAACTCCTTTGGCCATTCGTTACCCCGCCGTGATTGTGTGTGGGCGTTTGCCTCGCTTGTCGCTTTTAATGAAAGCGTCATAAATTATGTCGCAGTTGACGAAAGCAACAGCGAAGCTCCCGTCTGCGAACGGAATGCTCCTGGACAGTCGTTGAGGTTGCGGGGTCACTTAGCATACTGTGTGTGTCCGTACGGGCAACACATGTAGCGGACTTGATGAACTGCTTAACTGGCAGAGGATCCCAAATGCCTTACATCTATGTGGGGTAGTTCGGCAACGGAATCTATTGCAGGGAAGAACTGCTCCACATCAATATCCACTCTCCAATTATATTTCTTTGTATTTCGTATATTAACAAATAAGTCGGACAATAATAATTATCGATTATTTTCATGTAAATGATTTTTTTAAGTTGTCAATCGTGAAATCATTGTCTAAATATTATTTAATGAATTTATCATCATGTTTGATTATTTCTAGGACAATACTTTATTTTTCTCCACTTGACGCCAACTATGCATAAAAGCATTATAAGAGTCCTTCACCGGTTTTATTTTATTGGAAAAAGTTATGTAAAAAAAACTAACCGAAAATAAAGAATAGCATTTAGGCATGCGATTACGTTTGGGTCGTACACGACGAGCTTTAAAAACACTCTACTTTTCTTAAATCCGATCTCTAGACATTTTATTTCAAAGACGCCCATGCATTAGTTGAAATTTTAGAAAAAAAAATATGTGACACTCTGCAAATGATTTCCATTTTAATAAAATTGTGCAAACAGAAAATGTATCGCACATTCAATACAACTTGGGACTAGGATGTTTATTTGCAAAAATACCATCTTAAAACAGTACGTAGACCAGGTAACTGATGTAGATGGTGAAGAACAGTAAATATAAGTTGGCTCGCCCATCGGCCCTGAGCACCTGCCACATGTTATACTCAGTCCGGCCCGATGTCGAAATAGAGTTGTTCACAAACTTAGCATGTTCGGTCTTCTGGGGCCTCATTACTGCTCTTTCCGTCCTGGTAATACGCACAATCCGACGTGACCTCCGTTGCGCAAAGTCGGACGAATGGCGGGAGCCACGTGGACCATAGTGCAGGGAACCGGTGGTAAGTGCCCCACCTCCGTTCCTCTCCAAGATTAGCAGGGCGAGCAACACGATCCAGGCCAAAGACATTCCCCGCTCCAGAAGTTGTCGGTGGCCAGCAGCCCGGGATAAACTGGAAAGCGCTCTCCGTCGAATCGGAGCGATATCACCAAAACAGATAGCGAGCGGCGGCCGTGTTTTCTGTTTGCATTCCACACAGGTGTTTTTCGAGCTCTACTCGATGTTTGCTGATCTTTGGGAGCTGTTACCTAACCCCTTGCCTTGACCTTCTCAACTCACATTTCTACTCAGTCGTCGATTTATGTGTCAGACGCTTTTGTCAATGAAAATGGTTTGATATCCGAATGGAGCAGACAGGCGCTTTCTAACTTTTAAATAAGGATAAATATATATACAAGTTAACTGAAGCCAAAAGATGAGAACAGCCGCGCTCACACCGCTGCAAAAACAGCCTCTGCTATTTGATAAATCAAATAATTAAAAAAGTTCAGGCCGGCCAAGCCCCAAGCTCCCACCGCCTTTGGCTTGGCTTAGGCACAAAAACAGAACTTGAAACAAACTTTTGCCAAAAAGGTGAAGCAGGCGAAAGTTTTGGCAAGGAACTAAAATTGCATTTAGGCGCACTTAGGCAGTTAGGTGGGCGGCAGAAAGATCACGGGATCCGTGCCCAGCTTTGGCGAGATAAATCTGTTCACAGATTTTTAAAGCCGAGCCCTCCTCTGCGAGCACGAAATCATATTTGGCCACAAATTTAATGCGGCCTCAGCGCCGGCGGCAAAACTTTTTTGCCAGCTCTGCAAGCCAAAACTTTCGCCTCGGTCGGTGGGGGAACAGGCATCCTGTCTGTCTCCCGCCCTCGTCCTGGCTGTCCCGACATCCTTTGTGCCAATTCGAGTTGCAGAACTCCGGCGAAGCGTGTGAAATGCGCCGCAGCCTGGTTAGGCCTCCAAGCAGGCGTGGCTTTGATGGATTTCTGCATAAATGGGGCCAAGGCAAGCAGCCAGGCGACAATGCAAAACGGTTTCATTTCGTTCTACAGATGGCAGCCTCCTTTGTAATATATTTAAGATTTTTTGTTCTTTGATAAATTTAATATGTAACAGAAAAAAAATTTGTCAAGGGTGGTCATTTTAAACAAAAAACACTCTTTTAAGGACCCCCAGCCACCAAGGAATCATTGGCAGCAAACTAGCAGATCAGGCCGCCCAGGCATGAGACTAAAACTGTATTTTCTTTTTAACACCTTTCAACAATTCAATTGAATTCGTCTTCACCTTAAGGACATACAAATTGGCGAATGGGAACTTTATGACCACCGATATTTTTCCATCAATAGTAGGTACTTTTACAAAAATTTTTCTGCCTGCCTACCTTGGAAAGCGGGCATGTTCTACATTCATGCGCCTTCGCATTGGACACGCTCCTGCAACACACGAACATATTCTCACAGGAACACCACGTCCCGCCTGCCTTTGCGGTGAACGCCTTGAAATAGACCATCTTCTCAACTCATGGCGTCTTCTGGATAGCGTCAGGGCTCTCATTTTCAAACAACAAAAACCATCAGACAGTTTAAATACAGTTTCTCAAGAAAACATAATGAACCTAAACAAATTTGTGGTCAAAACCAACCTAAATATTTAAGTTTTTATTTAACTAATAATATCTGGAGTCGTAGGCCATAGCAGCTAGTCCATTGATCTCAGCTTAAAACTAATTTCTTGTTACAAAAATCTTACTTGTGCTGCCTTTTGTTTACAAAAGTTTGGGAGCGAATTCGCCCGCTTGGGATATTGATTGTTTACAATAATTTGAGAGTAAATGTGCCACTTAGGATTAGTGATCGCCTGCTCTGGATGTGGATTGTTTACATTGATTGATAGTGGGATCGCCTATGCTGCATATTCTTATTTCTTGGTACATAACTGGATATGTAAATATGTCACTATATATATTGATTAGTGTTTAAACGCGGAACGTGTGGTGAAAGTGGAAAGACAAGTGAATAGACAAATTTGAGGAAATATATTTATTTTAACAAAAAATTTAAAATCTTTTGCCATAAAGTGAATGGCTTAAGTTGAGATGAGATATCTATCCTGGCCCGGAGCGTTAAAATCAATATCGGGTATTAATTTTAAAGAATTAAACTCTATTTAAGAATTTATTTCTTTTTTTCGCCTCTTTGTGGGGCTGCCCGGCTTATCCCCTAAGCTGGTTAATCAGGCGACGCTGCCTCTGGAGCAGCTGCTCCATGCGGCGCCTTCTTCTCTCCTGGCGCTGCCTCCGCTCCTGGCGACGACGGCGCTCGCGGGCCAGGCGACGACGGCGGGCACGCCTGCGCCTCCTGGCCGCCGCGGACGAGGACGAAGAAGTGGAGGACGAGGAGGAGGAGGAGGAGGTGGTGGTGGTGGTGGTGTCCGAGGAGGCCGTGGTGGTGGTTGTAGTGTCCGAGGAGGAGGCGGTGGTGGTGGTGGTGGTGGTAGTCGATTCAGTGCTGGTGGTGGAGCTGGCACCACTGCTCTCCTGCGCCAGAAGAAGGCACAAGAGCACGCCGAAGACAAGAGCGAATAGACAACGCATTGTGATGTGTGTGATCTCCACAGCAGGGCGGGCTTTTTATACTCAATCTGGAGCACAAAATAACAAACCATGTAATCGGCAAATACTTGGTTGGTTGGTGCTCGACAATCAAAATTGTTTGCACAGCTTCTTATTTTTCAAACATTATTAAATGTGAATTCAAATTCTGATATACTTGTAAGGTCGCTTGAACTTCCGACCCCATAAGAATTAATTTTCTTGATCAGCATCAATGCCGGAGCGGGTATAGGCTTGTCAGTCTGTCCCTCTGTCTTTCAGACGCTCACTTTTAATTATACCATGCTGAAACTTTTCCAAAAGTGTTTGCAATCCGGGTCGAAAGGCTATACCATATAGCCGCCATAGGAACAGTTTAAAACTTATACAACATTTAACAAAATCAAATTATAAGGTAATTTTTTCTAGTTATACGAATTTTAAATTAAACGGCCGTTCTGCAGTAGCAACAGTTCTGGTAAAGCCTCATTCTAGTTGAAATAAAAACGAACAGAAGGGACAGACGTGCCAAACCGTAAAAATCCTGACGAAAACTATGATAACCTCTGAAAGGCTATAAAAATGTAGCTTTGATATTGATGCTTGAAAATTGTTTTATGAATCAACCCTTGCGAGGGAAAGATCGAAAAATCTATATAGAAATAACGGAAATAAAATGGTAAAATCGTGGTTTTTCACCAGACAAGCATGATTTTTGGAATATAGAGTTTTCTAACGACTCTTGAATACCGAATATAATTTCATCTACGTCGGACGACTACATCATATAGCCGTCATATGAGCAATAGTCGAAAATTTGGAAAATAAATAGAAAAGACGTCATAGCTTTGTTCGAAGGAAGCTAGCTAACTTTCTTGTTTTTCTTAATAATCAAACAACTGAATTTTATTTCTACCATAGAAAAAACAAGGCAGTGCACTACAGGCAAGTTTCATGACTACCATATACCCGTTAATTCAAAAAACAATTTAAATTGGCCTGAAAACTTTTGAAGGGGGCTATATAGGCAAATATAGGCAAAAAACAAAAAAAATCTCCTCCTGATTACCTCAAGAAATTCATATCCTTTAAAACGCTTATCACTTTTTTTTAAGATGATCCGTTAAATATTTTTTATTAAAATTTTTTTCTAATACTCTTCAAAGGTTGAACAATAATATGTCATAAAGCTTAAAAAAAAAATTACTTATTTCGCTGCATAAAAACACAATTATAGCCTTTCTTTAGGCCTTTAAAACCTTACCCCTCTTAAAGACTTCTTGTAAAGCTGCGTTTGCATCACTCTTATCTAATAAGCAAAAAAATGTTTGTTTGTTTACTTAACTTGCGCTGCGTAAAAATCGAGATATCGTCGTTCATAAAAACAGACACGTAGACTAAAAAAGAAAATTAATTCTCTTTAAAAAATACAGGATAGCGTACAAAAAACAGTTTACTCTACGAGTAACGGATGTAAAGACCTGAAACACGAGTAGCAAATTAATTTGAATTTTTTTAATGGATTTGTATATGCTTAAAATCTATTTAACTACCAAATTTTTATTTTGAATCAGCTCTGGGGGCATAAGACTTTGCGTTTTCTAGCGAGGCAAATACTACCTAATTATTTGACAACAACATATACAGAAAGGATTTTTCTTGACTTATAACAAATTTTAAAATAAAAATGCATATGGTGTAAGAAAACAATTTCAACAAATGAAATGATTATCCTTAATGACTCTTCGTTTTTCAATATTTATTTTTTTACAGGCGATTATAAAATGTTTGTCACAGCACACACTTACACCTAGTTCGGCTTTACAGCATTCTAATTTATTTCCCTTATCGATATGTGTTAGCATCCGCACTTATCCACGCAGCTGATTGATTTCACGGCGCTGGTCCCTCAGTTGCTGGCGCAGTCTCTGGGTTCTGCGCTGCCTCCTGCGCTCCCTGCGCTGGCGCTGCCTGGCCAGACGACGACGGCGGGCACGCCTGCGCCTCCTGGCGGCCGCTGACGAAGACGAGGAGGAGGACGAGTCGGTGGTGGTGGTGTCCGAGGAGGAGGCGGCGGTGGTGGTCGTAGTGTCCGGAGGAGGAGGCGGTGGTGGTGGTGGTGTCAGAAGCACTGGTGGTGGTGGTGGTGGTAGACGATTCAGTGCTGGTCGTGGAGCTGGCACCACTGCCCTCCTGCACAAAGAGGAGGCAGCCGAGGACTGCGAGGACAAGTACGAATGAGTAGCGCATGCTGTATGTGACTGACGGATTGATCGCCTATGCAGGCTTATATAGCAAATTTGGATCAAGGGGCAAACAGTTTTGTTATTTTGTTGGCTTTACTTGGTGATGTTTACTCAGATTGGGGTAAAAGACGTAATAGTTGGGACCTTGAAAACATGTTTACAATTGAAGATTTAGTAGGGTGTGATCAAAAGGTTTCCGGAACTAAATAGCTATAAATGGGTTATGAAATGGTTTATTCGATACCCAACTAAAGAATGCGCTACAAGTACGTCCTGCTTTTAGCCCTCCTGAGCTGCCTGCTGCTCATCCAGGAGGGCAGTGGTGCCAGCTCTTCCTCGAGCACTGAGAGTTCGAGTAGCTCCACCGAAAGCTCCTCAGACTCATCCACCAGCGCGACGTCCTCCTCTGACTCGACAGAAGCGTCCTCCTCTTCTTCCGACTCCACCACCACGACCACGACCACCACCACGACCACGACCACTTCCTCCTCCTCGTCTTCCAGCGCTGCTGCTCGGCGTCGCAGGGCGGCAGCGCGCCGCCGTCGCCGCCGCTTGGCCCGCCAGAGGCGCAGGCGTCAACAGCGCCAACAGCGCCAGCGTCAGAGACGCCGCCGCCAACAACAGCGCAGGAGACAACAACAAAGACGGCGACAGAACCGCCGAGGATAGGCGATCCCCAAAAACGGAAACCCCGGGTTTCCCTCCTCTCTGTCTGCAGACGTTCCGTCCGACAATACTGTTATACAGCTCCGCAACTTATTCCATTATTTACAAATAAAGAACATTGAAAAGGTACTGATAGAGGGATTTAAACAAAATATTAAACCTTCAGAAATGTATTCGCACAATCAGAGTTGACAAATTTTGTGTTATTACAGATACAGATACCATTTCGCAAAAAATAATAATAACATAGTAGAAATTAAAGTATATAACGGCCTTGTTTTTATAATGACGATACCGCCACAGCACATTTTCACAATAATTAACCAAAACATTAATTTTTTTTTTTTTTTTTGCGCGTAGTCTTACGGCCTACCACCCGCCCAACCGCCCGAGGGGCGACAGCCGTGTATCGTACGGCAGGATTCGCGGAAATTTGGACGCGATATTAAAAAGAAGAGAAGAAAATTAAAAGCTATGCAGAAATAAAAGGCAAAATACAAAAGAACAAAGAACATTTGTTTTTTTTTTAATTTAGCGGCCAGAAATGTTAGTACTAATTGCTTTAGGAGCTGCAGAGAGTCAGTAGAAAGCAGTATATTATAGTCAAAACAAAGTACTCTGAATGGCCCATGTAAGTTATAATTAGATCTACAATAATTTAAAACTAAAGAAACATAATTTCTAGTTAACCTACTTGGAACCAAGAAACTTAGTCTACTCAGTCAGGACTGTCAATTTCACCACGTATAAGATTATGAATAAATACAGTGCCAAGCATCGTTCTACGATTAGTAATGGAGGGCAAGCAAATAAGGAGAAATCTATTAAAACAGAAGGGTAGGATACGATTGCTTTCCAGTTAGGCGAGGTGAAAGAATTGGGCAAACAGATCGGCTATTGGCTGATCAGTATTAGCCATCATACTTTCAAACGAAAGCGAAGGCGGAAAGGAACATGATCTGCACTTAGTGTTTACAAAATTATAAATCTGTTTAGGATCCCATAAAAACTGGGACTTGCAACGGACTGAATAATTTTTGTAACACTGAGCGTTAAACATGGTAAAGTCGGACCGAGCTCTTATGTATTTTCCAAAAAATCTTATATTTTTTATAAAGTCTGGACTTTAACTTCCTAAGGAGCGTCAACTCTTTGCTAAACTAAGGTGGTTTATTGGATGTAGTAAAAAATTGTAATGGCATCTTCCATATTATTGCAGGAGAAGAGATCGGACCAGTCATTGCCAGATATAAGATGATTAAGTCTCAGAAAGTTAGCCCTGCGAAAAGAAGAATTCGCTTAGCCTTATAGCACTATCTTTAACTGTTATACCAGTGTCTATAGTCACCTTGAAAGCAGGATGATACATATCTTCAGGTAGCGTGATTGGTGGTGGATTTGGGACAAGGCACAAATCAAGTAAACGATATCCAATGAGTTTCGAACATGATTTACCTGACACAGAGGTATGTCAAGTAGACAGTCAATGAATTTAATGTGGCCTATGGGTTGTAAAGCATTGGAATTATCATCTGAGGACCACGTAGTTCCAGATATATTAAAATCACCTAGAACTACCAGATGATTCATATCGGACAAAGAACTCGAAATTGACTTTACAACTGATCGGTGTCTTAAAAAGTCCATAAGATCGGACGAAGGAGGTATGTAATAGCAGGTGATAAAAATTAACCTGCCAGAGACACACAGTTTTACACATAAAAATTCGAATTTCAAGTTCAAAACAAGAAAGGAAGCTAGCTTCGGCAAGCCGAAGCTTATATACCCTTGCAGTCCTCAAATATGTCGAACAAAATACATAAAGGCTTAAGAGCATCGAAGCTATGACGACTTTTCTATTAATTTTCCATATTTTCGAATATTGCTCATATTCGTCTATTTGATATAGTCGTTCGATTTTGATGAAATTCTTTTCGGTATTCAAGACACGTTAGAAAACTCTATATTTCAAAAATTATGCTTGTCTGATGAAAAACAACGATGTTATTATTTTATTTCCATTATTTCTATATAGATTTTTCGATCTTTCTTATGGCAGCTATAGGATAACATGGTCGGATTTTAATCAAATTTTTTCTCGAAAAAATACATGATCGCTGGAGTAAAATCAACGACGTTATAATTTTTGCCATTATTTATATTTATTTTTTTTAGATCTTTCCTATCGCAGCTATATGATAGAGCTATCCGATTTTTATAAAATTTAATCGGAAATTCAATAGTAGTTAGAAAACGTCATCTGGAAGAAATCAAGTCGATCTGATCAAAAACAACGGCGTGAGATTTTTTTTATTTCATTCTCTCATATAGGAGCTATCCGATATAGTCGGCCGATCCGGCCCGTTCCGACTTATATACTGGGTGCAATAACTACACTACTTTTGGTAAAGCTTCAGCAAGATAGCTTTAAAACTAAGAAACTAGTTTGAAGAGTAACGGACAGACGGACAGACAGACAGACGAACAGATGGACAGACATACAGACGTATTTGGATTCTGATCGTGATGCTGATCAAGAATATATACACTTTATGAGGTCTGCTACGCAAACCTCTTGTATTCTGCCAACTAATTGGGAGGCTAGTGGTTAGTTTTTTGAGGGATAGATGAGCTAAAGACGGCGCGGTTTGTTGCTCCCTGCTGCTACGAACTTCTTAACTACCATTTTAGCGAGCCAAAAATCGATCGATCATATGGTGTTCCTAGCATATGAAAAGTTAAATTTTTCTACCTTCTCTTTATCGACATTAATTTTGTCTTTAATATAAGACAAGACATGAAATGATGTGAGATCAGGGTGCACCCGAGGAAACAATATGTATTTGCTTCATTTGTGGAATCAAAATAAGAGGTTTTGGTACTGCAGGCTGTAGACCTGCGGTGACAATTTGGTCCGGAAGCCCGGTCTCAGAAACTGGTCTTAGCAACATTTGAGGGGTTGCTAAAGTTGACTGCTCAACGGCAGAGTAGTTTTGCTGGTCGCTTTAAAGTTGCGGGATGATTTCCTCAAGCCTACCACCAGCAGCCTTTGTGTGCTTCGGGGACTCCTCTAATAGCTTAAGGCTTTTAATCTGTGAGTCCAGCGTAGAGAGTAGATCATTGGCCTTGGCAAAACTATCTCTAGCTATGCCAAAACTAGTGAACATACCCTTTAGGTCGCCTTTAGTTTCTAGACTCACTTCTCCACCCTGTGAATCCAGCACACTTAGTGTGCATTATCTTTTAACAAAGCCAACAAGTGAGTTTGGCCTGCTCATGCTTAATTACCTGACGGCAGGTTTTTTTAAGCAGATAATATAGGAATCTATGTTTCGAATAATACGGACCACTGAGCCAAAAGAAAATCAATCGAAATTATTAAGCGAGCAACTCAAATGTACTGCAAGAGCATTTAAATTGCACTCTTAGAACTTTCAAGTTTGTTAGTACAAAAAAAAAGAAAGAAAAGAAATGGAAAAAAAAAGAATAACGTCATTGTTTTTAATCCCATGAATTTCAAAATTTGGAGTTTTTCCATAACCCTTGGGTCGAGAAAAAAAAATTCATTAAAGTCAGACAACTTTATCATATATGTAGCTGCCATAGGAAAGATCGAAAAATATTTATAGAATTTAGGAAATAAAATTACATTTATGTAATTTTTATGTTTAGTAAACATTGTGTTTTTTTCCTGACGGTTCAAGAATTTAATTTTAAGTGAAATAAAAATGTTTTGCGAAGCAAAAAATATAGCACACCACATAAGTTTCCAGTATTGTTCAAATTGCCTGAATTTGATCTTAATATTTGTGTTTTTCCTATATGTATCTCGTAGATTCAAATATTCTGTCTTTGTTAGAAAAAAATTAAAAAGTAGAATAAAGCTTCTTCGCTCCATAAGGTAACGGGGTTCTAACAGTCGACAATATCGTTCTTACATCTTTATGTAGATAAATTTACATAATACAGTCGAATCCCGATAATTCGTACCCCGCTAAATCGAAAATCGCGATAATTCGTAAAAAATTCTGTCCCCTTGAAAAAATCTCGTTAGTTCGTAAAAATTCCATACATTTTGGTCCCCTCGTTAATTCGTAGTACAGTCGAATCCCGATAATTCGTACCCCGCTAAATCGAAAATCGCGATAACTCGTAAAAAATTCTGTTCCCTTGAAAAAAACTCCCTCGAAAAAAATCTCGATAAATCGAATTCCCGTCTAATTCGTAAAAAAAGTGATCCCCTTGCCATTTCGAATTATCGGGACTCGACTGTATTTGGCGCAACGCAAAGAATATTGAACCTCTTATATGTTAAATCGTAATTTTGTTTCGTAACCTCTTATAAATCGTAATGCGATGCGAAATTTTTTGTAGTTAAAGCACCGTTAGATTTTGCAGACAGCTATGCCGCCTTTATGTTGCTATGCATTATGAATTTTGTGTTTCTCACGCTGTTATAATTTTATGTTATTGTTTAATTTTCCTTTTATTTGAAAAACATACAAATGAATGTACATACTTATAATGTTTGTTTAATTTTAATAAAGTTAAATACATATGTAAACATGATGAGAAATGTAAAAACCCCGACTGTACAACGTTTTTTTAACATAAGACCCATATCTCTTTTGGTCGATATGTGTTAGCATCCGCACTTATCCACGCAGCTGACTGATTTCACGGCGCTGGTCCCTCAGTTGCTGGCGCAGTCTCTGGGTTCTGCGCTGCCTCCTGCGCTCCCTGCGCTGGCGCTGCCTGGCCAGACGACGACGGCGGGCACGCCTGCGCCTCCTGGCGGCCGCTGACGAAGTCGAGGAGGAGGACGAGTCGGTGGTGGTGGTGTCCGAGGAGGAGGCGGCGGTGGTGGTCGTAGTGTCCGAGGAGGAGGCGGTGGTGGTGGTGGTGTCAGAAGCACTGGTGGTGGTGGTGGTGGTAGACGATTCAGTGCTGGTCGTGGAGCTGGCACCACTGCCCTCCTGGACGAAGAGGAGGCAGCCGAGGACTGCGAGGACAAGTACGAATGAGTAGCGCATGCTGTATGTGACTGACGGATTGATCGCCTATGCAGGCTTATATAGCATATTTGAATTTAGGGGCAAACAGTCTTGTTATTTTGTTGGCTTTACTTGGTGATGTTTACTCAGATTGGGGCAAAAGACGTAACAGTTGGGACCTTGAAAACATGTTTACATGAAAGGTCTTGTTGTATGGATTCCCCAATTAAAAGTTTACTGGGCTGTGATATCGACTTCCGGGACTAAAAAGCTATAAATGGATGAAATGACTTTTTCGATACCCAACTAAAGAATGCGCTACAAGTACGTCCTGCTTTTAGCCCTCCTCAGCTGTCTGCTGCTCGTCCAGGAGGGCAGTGGGCAATCTTCCTCGAGCACTGATAGTTCCTCGAGTACCTCCACCGAAAGCTCCTCAGACTCATCCACCAGCGCGACGTCCTCCTCTGACTCGACAGATGCTTCCTCCTCTTCTTCCGACACCACCACCACCTCGTCTGACACGACCACGACCACGACCACTTCCTCCTCGTCCTCGTCCTCGTCTTCCTCCAGCGCTGCTGCTCGGCGTCGCAGGGCCGCCGCCCGCCGCCGTCGCCGCCGCTTGGCCCGCCAGAGGCGCAGGCGTCAACAGCGCCAGCGTCAGAGACGCCGCCGCCAACAACAACGCAGGAGACAACAACAAAGACGGCGACAGAACCGCCGAGGATAGGCGATCCCCAGAAAAAGGATAACCCGCGATCGGGTTTTCCTCCTCTCAGTTTATAGACGTTCCGTCCGACATTTACAAATAAAGAACATTGAAAGGCACTGATAGATGGATTTAAACTTTCAGAAATGTGCGAATAATTCACAATTAGAGGTGACGAATTTTTGTGTTGTTACAGATACTCCAGTTCTCAGAAAACTCTTAACTCATAGTAGAGACTAAAATATATAACGGACTTGTTATTATAATGACAATACCGCAAGGGCACATTTTTACAATAAAAAACTTTATTTTATAGTATTTAAATGTGTTTTTTGGGCGCATTGCTTATTTAGTAAACATCGTACTTTCTCGTGGTCGTTCTAGAATTTATATTTTGCGCAGAAAAAATTGCACACCACATATGTTTTTAGAATTGTTCATTTGATTAAAATTGCCTGAATTTGATTAAATAGTTGTATTATACCTATAACTTGTAGATTAAAATATTCTGTATTTACTGAAAAAAAATTTAAAAAGTACATAGAATAAAGCTTCTTCGGCCCTTAAAGTAACGGGGATCTAGCAGTCGACCACATCGTTCTTTCTTCTTTATGTAGATAAATTTACACAATACAAAGCGTTTTTTAACATAAAAGGACAATACAAAATTAAAGCAAAGAGGTTAAACTTTCAGAGACCCGATACCCTAATGTTTATTAGCAATGGGAGTGTCAAACTTTTGCCTAAAAACTGCATGATCAATCCAAAACACTACCATTAGCCGTTAGGTGCTACATATTCGAGTTATACATAAGAAAGTGCTTGCTTCCACCTGTTACGAACAATTCTCTTCAAGTAACGGGACTTAAAATCACCTAAATTTCAAATGTTTTCCAAAATTGGTTAAATTATTTAAAACGCAAAGTTTTAAACAAATAGTATTATCTTTTTGTATATAATTTTAAAGCACATATTTCATATTGATTTAATTAGGCTGGTCAGTACGTCATGGAACATTACAAAATTACCCAAAAAGTTTTTGTGGTGTGTTTAAAAAACAGAAATATGGCAAATTTAATTATATTATGGTTAATATTTGGTGTAAACGTTCTTTAAAGATTACAATAGAAAATATGTGGCCAACAAAACAAAAAATAATGGGTAAAGCTGAGCAAACATTTCTGAATGTCAAGTGTAAGATATAATGGTAGTTACTATTAGCCAAACTTCGCAGATAGCTGGGTATAAAAGCGCTCGCTCTTACCAGTTTAAAGCATACCACCATGCGCTACTCATTCGTACTTGTCCTCGCAGTCCTCGGCTGCCTCCTCTTCGTCCAGGAGGGCAGTGGTGCCAGCTCCACGACCACCACTGAATCGTCTACCACCACCACCACCAGTTCTTCTGCCACCACCACCACCACCGCCTCCTCCTCGGACACTACGACCACCACCGCCGCCTCCTCGGACACCACCACCACCACCACCGCCTCCTCCTCCTCGTCCTCGTCTTCGTCAGCGGCCGCCAGGAGGCGCAGGCGTGCCCGCCGTCGTCGTCTGGCCAGGCAGCGCCAGCGCAGGGAGCGCAGGAGGCAGCGCAGAACCCAGAGGCTGCGCCAGCAACTGAGGGACCAGCGCCGTCAAATCAGACAGCTGCGTGGATAAGTGATGCGGCAGAAAACATTTTTCAGAAGAAAATACATAATAAAGCTGCCAATTAAAGGCGATTAAAATCAATACAAAAATATTTGATTTGTTATTGAATAGGCAAACATATTATGATTTGGGTTGTAAGCTTAAAAATGTGTTCTTTTGAATTAATGACAAACAATAAAGTTTTATCCGCTTCCATACTAGGTCTACAATCGTAATTACAGCTCTCAAAGAAAACAAGAAAGGAAGCTAGCCCTTATATACCCTTGCAGTCATCAAATATGTAGAGCTAAATACATAAAGGCTAAACAGCATCGAAGCTATGACGATTTTTCTATTAATTTTCCATATTTTCGAAATTTATTTTGGTATTCAAGAGTCGTTAGAAAACTCTATACTCCAAAAATCATGCTTGTCTGATGAAAAACAACGATATAATGTAAAAAACAAAGTAATGGAATGGAGCATGCAGATTCTTGAGCCTAGAAATCAAACTTGATAATTTACTCGTAACAAGAAAAGAAGTTAGCTTCCGCGAGCCGAAGTTTATATACCCTTTAAATTAATTAAAATCGCACGACTATAGCCAATATATAGCTGTATAGTCGTGCGATTTTAATGAAATCTTACATAGCCGTTAAAAAACTCCATATTCCAAAAATCATACTGTTACCGTTAATTTGGTATATATTTTTAAATTTTTCCTATAGCAGCTAAATGATATATGTTATATGACGTATTTTGATTCAGATTGTGATGCTGATCATGAATATATATAATTATGGGGTCTGAGGTGTCTCCTTCACTGCGTTGAAAACTTTTTTCTGTACTTTTGTAAAAAAGATCTTGGTTTTAAAAATGTTGTGTATACCAAGTTTTTAATTTTTGCGCCTACTGATTGATATATTGTTGTTCAATACATTTTTAAATTACTTTGTCCAAACTTTTTCATGATCTACTTGTAATAATAAAGTTTCATGGAGAAAGCTTTAAAAATAATAGCAAGAATCTGTAGAAAATAAAATTAAACAACATTGTTTATCGTTGTTATTTACCACACCAGCATTAGTTTCAGAATAGAGTATAGCATTTACTTACGACTCTTGAATTACGAATTTAGTTTCTAAAAATCGGAGGACTACATCATATGGATGTTATAGGAACAACCTTAGGTTTAGAAGTTCGGTATAATAATAAATAATAAAAATTTAATTCTATAAAGATCAAACTACTTTACCACTATATCACACAGCTCCCATAGAAATTGGAAAATGAATAGACAATTGGACAAAATTAGGATCAAACTAACAATGTAAGCATTTTGCTTGGAAAGTAAAAACAAAATATTATACATAAGTACTATTAGTTTGGTACTTGTTTGAGCAACTTTTTACCCGCGTCCTATATTTTGAATTGGCTGCTAACAGCACCGGACTCCAGAGATTGCATTGCAAAGGGTTGGGTTACCTCCAATTCAAGCGACCTTACAAGTCTAACAGAACTTAAGTTCACACCTAAAACAGTTTGGAAAATAAGAAGCTGTGCAAACACTTTTGATTGTCGAGCACCAACCAACCAAGTATTTGCCGATTACATGGTTTGTTATTTTGTGCTCCAGATTGAGTATAAAAGGCCGCCCTGCTGTGGAGATCACACACATCACAATGCGTTGTCTATTCGCTCTTGTCTTCGGCGTGCTCTTGTGCCTTCTTCTGGCGCAGGAGAGCAGTGGTGCCAGCTCCACCACCAGCACTGAATCGACTACCACCACCACCACCACCACCGCCTCCTCCTCGGACACTACGACCACCACCACGGCCTCCTCGGACACCACCACCACCACCACCGCCTCCTCCTCCTCCTCCTCGTCCTCCTCTTCTTCGTCCTCGTCCGCGGCGGCCAGGAGGCGCAGGCGTGCCCGCCGTCGTCGCCTGGCCCGCGAGCGCCGTCGTCGCCAGGAGCGGAGGCAGCGCCAGGAGAGGAGGAGGCGCCGCATGGAGCAGCTGCTCCAGAGGCAGCGTCGCCTGATTAACCAGCTTAGGGGATAGGAGGACACTTAAGAACTAGTTTCTGGAAGTCCTTCTGTATAAATACAAGCATTGCATTAACCAAACAGCTGACTACTTACATTTCACTTTAAATGTCCGACAGAAAAGGTTTGAGAAGGGCTAAGCTGCTGTGCTAAGCCCCATCTGCTGGTGGTACATTTTTGTGGTGCATAAAGGGCGTATCCATGGGTATGAACTCGCACATCTCCATATTCAATCAGTCAGGCGTTCGGTGGGGAACGCGCTTTTTGTGAGGCAGCAGACAATTGGCTCTATCCCAGGAGTTTATTATGCCAGAGATTGAGCGCTTAAAAACGCTTTTCTTGTAGCCAAGCTCAGCCGTCAGCCATCCTGGAATCAAATAAAATAAAATATTCATTTTGATCTTTGAACTGTGCATAAACGTGCTGGTTCCTGCCGATGGGGTGTAGCGACCACCCCAGGACCCAGATCCAAGATATTTAAACTTATTGGATGCAAAAGGAAGAATGTTAGGTATGCGTGCAAGTATAAATAATGCGGTTAAGCAAAGGCAAATCGTCATATTTCTCGTACACTAAGAAAAAGTTTAAATTGCTGTTAAATTGTTTCTTGCGTTTCTGAAAGAAGTCGTATCTAAGAGAACTATTTTTTGAAGTCTCAAACTCCTGAATTAACTTTAATGTAATATATGACAAACTTTTAAGTTGAATGTCATTCGCTCAAAATAACAACACTTTTTGCTCTGTTAGAAGACCGACTTGATTAATGGCTTAAGAGTTAAATCCACACGATAAGTTTTTCAATTTAAATTTAAAATTTGCTTTAGGTACAAGTCGTTTAAAATGGAAATGAAGTTTGTTAAAAAATGTCTTAAATTAAGAAATATCGAAGGTGAAACCTTTTCATGGCCAGAAACAAATGCCAGTTTTTTCTGAGTGTAGTTTTTTTAAGTCAACTATGGAAGAATGTGAAAGAAGATACTTTTTGGGTACGATTCTTGAAGTTACGAATAGAAACAGGAATGGGGTCTGCAGTTGACTTCAGTTAAAGTTATTTTATTTCAAACTTCATTTTTTGTGTTGGTTAAATACACGGTACTGACGTTAATAGCTCTTTTCATACTTCAATACTGCAATTTCCAGCCTAAATCCATTCCCTGGCTTATCAGATTTACTAAATTGCATTTGGTAAGCGAGCAGCAATTCACGAGAACAAAAATAAATAAAAAGGCCGCCGGCCAAAAGGTAAAATACGTGGAGCAGGGTCATCCCTTATTGTTGATTATATACTTCAAAAACCGTGCAATCTTCCATCGAAGTCAATTTAAAGCATATATGAACAGAAAACGCATACATACTTACCCTCAAAATGTCATACCAATTTTTTTTAACTCACAGCATAAGAAGTCGGCAAATCCCTCATCCTTATTGCTCAGCAACCTGATAAAGTTAGCCATGTTTCTCAGCTTCGAAAAACATAGTTTGGTATTTCGCTATTCATAGTACCAGTTATTAGTAACTAATTGAAAACAAACAGCAGACAAAACAGATTTACTGAGCTAAAAGTGGATATAATTTTATTGTTTCAGGTGAATTAATCACAGAATCTTTCTGTTGCACCAAACGCAGACAACAAGGTTAGAAAATCTCCCTTGAACCACAACACGGAATTGGCCTTGTAAAGATTTAAGTGCGCTAGATTTTGTAAAGAGTAATCCCTGGAAACAGGAGATTTATTGTTTCGAACTGGAAACCCTCCGCCAAAATTTCCCTACTAATTCAATAAACCGGCAGCAAGGCAAAAGTCCCATGCACTGGGCCTTTGAATAAAAATGGGATTTGGGGGCCTAATAACATGGAGATCTGTGATTTATACCGGGTGAGTGTGAAATGCAAAAACATTTCCTTTGCTGCTATTTGTGTGAACGTCCTCTGTTTTTAACAACTTAATGCGCAACAAGAACAGGAACGAGTGACCAAAAGAAAAAAATCTGACCAGCAACAAAAAGCAAAGCCATAAAAGGGAATACTTCCAGCTGGGAAAGAGAAATGTTTTGTTTGGCTTAGTTTCCTTTTTGTTTGTTAAACTAGAGACTCGAGGCACTGAAATTGCTTAGCATGTCCTTTGCTATTCAAACAATTTGCATATCCTTTTAGTGCAGCGAGTATACTTAAAAAATCAACAACAACAATAGCAGAAGGCAAAAAAGTCCTGGGCAGGCATACCAACACGACAGTCAACCAAAATCCAATGTCAGCTCAAGAATTTCGTTCGAGAGAAAAGTGACGACTAGAAACAAGTATTTATTTTATTGGGTGCCCTTTTAATGCTCTACATCTACTATTGAAATGATTACAAATAAATATGGTTAAGTGTCATTCCTTCTATTAGATGCAATCAAGAAAAGTGGATGAAACATCTTCGAATTGTACAAATTCATTAATTTTAAGCTAAGAGATAAATGAACTTAACATCTTTAAACAACATTAAAGAAAATGACAATACAAACACTTAAGTAGCTCAACACATTTTTTTAAGGACGCAAGCCTTTTCAATTATTTGAAAATTGCACCCATTCAAAACTTTTATATATACATTCGGCAAAAAATAGCAAAATACATAAATCTTCTTCATCGTCATCTTCATTTAGTTCGATAAATTAATACAAAATAACTTATTAACCTGTAAAAGTTAAAGACCTAGCTGCTCGTGCAATCAAAAGTAAACTATTTTTATTTCGCGAAACTATATTAACTACATTGCAGGTTAAAGAAGAATCAACGAACAATTATATACTACCAGTTTTCTGCAGCAACGTTTTTTAATGTCAAAATTTTGGAAATAAGGGAGAATTGAACTACTTACAACAAGATACAAAATCGGAAGCTTTAAATACGAAAATAAATATATGTCCTGCGAAGTCATGTTCCGAATATGGTAGTCGTGCTACACCGAGTAAGGATATTGCCATCTTGAACAGAGTTTTATTTAACACGTTCGCAGCGAACCGAGAATGCGCAGCCTTACTGGGAACGGAAGACCGAGGGGGGCAGACGGAACGTATTCAAGTGAAAACTGAATTCTGCCAAGTCCTCGGTGCCATTCCTGGTACTTGGCATCGTCCTGCTCCCTGACCAGTTGCCAGCCATAATATTTATGCGCAGACGTTGCTCAATAAGCTGCTCAAGGATTTATTAGCCAAATGGGGAGATTTGACTGGCTGGCTGGAGTGCCATTCGGGGTCGGCTGTTGGCCCCTTTGGCATATGTGCGTCTTTCGGAGTGGCGCAGGTCCTCACACTGAGAGAAAAATTCAGCCAAAGCTCCCTTTGGCGTGCCCTGAAGAAGTAAAGATGAGAAATATTGTATGACAGTGCAGAAACCTCAATGCCGCGCTAAAGAAATGGTCGTTGTTTGGACTGAGTCGCAGGCAACTTATTGATGAATGTTTTCAAAACGTTAGCATTGAATGGCAATTTTTCAAGATTTACTGTGCTGCAATCAGATCAGAGCCAACCCTTTGGGAACTTTGCTAGGGGAAAGAAGGTAGCACAGCTGGGAGACTTGGACAATGAATTTCCTTACGCCGCGGTGCTCCCTGAGCAGCCAGGCGTTTTGTCGCTTTGTGTGCCTGTCTAATGGAGCTTAAATGGCCGCTGGCTTGACCCCTGAACTTTTACTCGGCTGGGATAAAGTTTCACAAGTTTAACAAAGTGAAAACAAATGCATTGTGCGGATTGGGTCGAGGATGGTCGAGGGTCTAGGGTCGACAGTTTAGCAGAGTAAAATGTACCTTTTTACACCTCTTTTTTGGCGGCTTTGAACAGGTAATTGATAAAAGTTGTTTGGGCAGATTGTCGAGAGATTTGTATTTCCATTCCCGGCCTATTATCCGCGGTAATTGAAATTGAAATTTGTATTGGAAATCAACGCGTCAGAGGCGCCGAGCACTTTTTAGCATTTCTCATTGTTGCTGTCGCTTTATTGCTTCCTCAATAACAGCGACACTGCATCAATATGCCAATCGACAAATGACCAAATAACCAAATCCAAAGCTCGGCAAACTCAAACTCGCATAAATCATACCAAGTGGCACCTCCAATAGGCCAAAAAAATAGCCAAACGCGTTTTTAAAATTCGCAAACTGTCACTGTCGAATCACAATAAGCACGACACAAGTCACAAACATTTCATTGCGAGTATATTGAATAATAATTTGATGTTGTGGGTCTTTTGTTTCTCTCCAGTCCCTACCGCTTTGCCGTTCAATTTTAATTCAATTTGGATGTGCTGCAAAAACCAAATTGCCGAGTGTCAAAATTCGAGAGCTGCACGTTCAGAAACGGTATTGAATAATATGAAAAATTTAATTTGAATTGACATTGATGGTTGTGAGGAAGACAGGCACTTATAGGCCAATTTAGAAGAAAAACGCACAATCTCCTAACACTAAACGCACTTTAAGCATTGTTAAAATTTGTTGAATACTTAAAAAAAAAAATGTGCTTTTTATAAACAAAATATATACGTAAATAATTAAATGAGAATGATCTATATTTATAATCTATATAATCTATAATCTATATTTTGTGGAGCCACATTAAGTTTTAAGAAAATAACTCTAAGCGTCCAAAGCAGATAAGTGTTTAAATAAGACAGGAATATAGCTTCGGCAAGCCGAAGCTTATATACCCTTGCAGTCATCAAATATTTCGAACAAAATACATTAAGGCTAAACAACATCGAAGCTATGACGATTTTTCTATTATGTTTATATATTTTCGACGCCAGCTATATGATATAGTCGTCCGATTTTGATTAAATTAAATTCGAAATTCGAGAGTCATTAAATAACTCATTATTCCAAAAATTATGTTTGTCTGAAGAAAAACACCGACGTTATTATTTTTTCCGTTTTTTTATGGCAGCTATGTATATGTCGCATGAGTACTATCCGATATAGTCGTTCAATAATTACACAACTTTTGGTTAATTGTCAACAAGATAGCTTTAAAATTGAGAGACAAATTTACAAAGAAACACACAGACAGACTGACGGACAGACGTATTTCGATTTAGATCGTGGTGCTGATCAAGAATATATATATACCTTATGTGGTCTGAGGTGTCTTCTTCATTGCGTTACAAACTTCTGACTGAAATTATAATACCCTCTGCAGGGATATACAAATTACATAATGTTTGTTGCCTGGCATAATAAATATAATATGGAAAATGTTTAAGCGACCATTACAAGCCACAACATTTGTTTTAATTGATTTTAAAGATCCATATCCATCAGTCTAATGCATATAAGAACTATTCTTTACCATCAGGTGATTTGAGTCCGGTAATGCAGAAAATTGGTTTTCAATAGTTCTTTGACGCATAAGGTTTTTATGTTTTTATTGGAAACTCGGCAATTGACATATCTTTCATATTTTTTCTTACCATCCGTTTTCTTCCCAATTGCCAACAGCAACCGCATTCGGTGTGGTAAAAAATGCGTTCCATTAAGGGGTTATATACCTTTTTGAGCGAAAAAAAAGAGGGAACTTTGGATTTTTTTCAGGTGTGAAGCAATTATTTTATGATACTGAGGTTATTATTTATTGATAGTACATGTTTTTATAGACACAATAAACGTTTAATCTTAAAAAAATATATATAACTTTCGAAGTTATGGCAATTCTCTCATAACCCTTTTTTTTTATAGCGGCTTGCGGTGACCACGATGGAAGTCCAGCGGGTCAACTAAAATCAATAAACCAAAAAAATTTTATTAGTTTAGTATTATTTCTAGTTCGTCATTGAATTACTTCAAGAATATTTGGTTTTTTCTGCATACAGTAACAATTTTTTCAAAAAATTGATTTTTCGAGCTCTAAAAATTTTATTAAAAATTTCTTATCTGCAAAATCGAAATTGGCGCATAAAAACTGATTCAATGACGAACTCGGCACAATCATTACGAATATTAAAAAAAAATTGAAGAAGATCGATCAAATAGTTCTTGTGCAATCGCGGTCACAGCAAAGGCACTTTTGGAAAAAAACGACTTTGAGATAATCGCATTCAAAGTTTTACGTTGCGTTACAAAGAGTGACGAACCGCCCCTCAAAACGCTGTTTTTCTATCGAACTATTATTCGGATCTCTTCAAAAATTTGGGAAAATGTTCTCTAGGGGATATACTTTAGGATTCAGCAAAAAAAAATTTTTCGTTTTTTTGAAAAAAAAAAAGGTATATAACCCCTTAAAGGAAGCCGCAACCTGCCAACAATTCAGATCCTGTTTTGCTTTTTCTGAGGCAACTTTATTTCCCTATTTTCTGGGTAACCCCAGAGGGACACTGGACAACACTAAGTAAATACCATTGGGACGCGCGACAACGCTGAAAGGCTCATCTCGGGGCAGGGAGACGAGTAGACCAGAGCTTTTAGGCGATCTTGGGCAGCATGGCGAAGATGCCGGGCTTGAGGTTGCTGACGTCCTGGACGACGAACTCCCCGCCGAAGTGGTCGTTCATGATCAGAGTGCGCTTCTTGCTGGCGTCCAGGAGCATGGCCTGCCACACGATCTCGAACTCGAGCTCGGGCAGCATGGCGGTGGTCGGGTCCTCCGGCCACCAGAACTTGTTGATGAAGTAGGAGCCCTGCAAAGGACGTTTTAAACGAATGCGGTGCCAATGGTACCGGCCCTAGAACGCGACCGGAAACGAGGTGGGTCAGCTCGGGTCCAGCACTGCCGGTGCTCCACTCACCTTGGCAATGGGGCAGTTCTCGACGATGTTGCCGAACTCGCGAATGAAGCCGTGCACGAAGCGCCCCACCGGCGACTTGTTCGCGAAGCCCAGGATGCGGCACACGTTCAGGGTGGTGTTCAGGTTGGTGGTGTAGAGCGGGTCCAGCTTGTTGGTGACGCGCACCTCCAGGTGGACGTCCACGTCGTGCAGCTCCTGGTGCACCTCCATGGTGAAGTTAAGGTGCGGGTCGCTGCTGTCGTACACAACCTTGTGCGAGACGTACTTCTCGTCGCTCCAGATCTTGATGTCCTTGAACTTGGGCCGCATCATTTTCTGGGGAGCAGTCAGGGGTTAGTTTGGGTGGTTCCTTCAGGCGCCGCAGGCTCTCACCTCTGCCAGGGATCCATGGACAATGGCCAGGACCACGTGCACCAGCACCAGGGTGTAGAGCATCATTTTGACCGACTGAAGCTTACTGTCTTCACTGCCTGGTCTCGGTGGATGGATCCCCATTTATATGGACCGGGCTGGGCAATTTCGAGTTCGATATTATCGATCTCATACTCAATACCATCGGGCACGCATCGAAACACCCGAACGCCTTTCCAAAGTCCATCCACTTAGTCGACCTAATTCACCATGGCCGTGTGCCGCGAACGGAGGGCAGATCTAAGCCTAATGCGCAGGCCACTTTGCGGCCCAGTGGGGCCTGACTAATATTGATTGCTTTCATATAAATACTGACTAATTGAAAAAGGGCCAGGCACATTGGCTAATTGGAGCAAGATGCGTAAGCTGTTTCCCGGAAGCTGCGGTGCCCTAATCTTAGTTCTGGTGCTGCTCATCCCCGAGAGCGGAGCGTGGGTGAGTAAATGCGAGTGGGTTGCCTATCGAATCTCCGCTAACTGCCGTCTCCAGCGCTCCTTCAAGGTCATCCTCACTAACGTGGACTTCGAGGCCAACGACAAAATCGTGGACTTAAAGGTGGACATGAAGAGCGAGTCGGGGGAGAACAGGCTGAGCATGGACATCAGGACGCTCGAGGACGTAGAGGAAGTCCAGCTGGCGGTCGACGTGGGTCTGGAGACGGACAAGGGGAACTACTCGACGCTCATCAACCGCACGGTCAACTTCTGCCAGCTGATGAAGCAGCGCAACTCGGACCCGCTGATGCGCCTGATCTACGAGGACCTGCTCAAGCACGGGAACCTCTTCAAGGAGTGCCCCATCCGGAGTGGCACCTACAGCCTGAAAAACTACAAAGTGGACGAGGAGATGCTGCCCAGCTTCCTGCCGGAGGCCAAGTTCCGGTTCGGGCTGCAGATCTCGAAGCCCAAGGGCGGGATGATCGGACGGTTCGCCATCTATGGCCGCATCGACAAGTCCAAGGGATTCGACAATCTCAAGCGGTTCAGCCTTGGCTGAGGTCCTGTTCCCGCAGGAGGCCCAATAAAGCTGCGAAGTGCGCCCAAGTCGTTCTTGTTTTGGTATTCAAAGCGTCTTTTGTCGCACGATTGACGGCGTCATTGTCGCCCCATCCCGTGCCCCACCCGCGGGAGTCCTCCTCCGCCGCCTCGTCACGTGTTTGCCTGCTCGACTGCGAAATTCGCATGTTTGCCCGACGGTGACAAGCTGTCTGCAGGCAGCGCAATTGATGACGACGATAATGGCGTCGGAGGGGCTGCCTGATGAGCAACAGACGACAATGATTTAGGGGCCGTGTGTGGAGTGGAGCTCCTGTGAACGCATATTCTGGCGAGCAGATTGGACTGATATCAGCGGGTCGATAGACGTAAGTGCACTCCGGCACAGGGAGAAAAAACTCGTGGCTAACAACCAATGCCTCTAAAAAAAGATAATAGGAATTCAAAAGATTCGCATGATGGTGCAAATCATGGTTGCTTATGGGGAGAAGCCTATGAAATAATAAAGGTGTATTACACAAAAGGGATTTTTTGGTCTATAGAGCTTGGAGCTCAAGCCATTCGTTTAAATAAGAAACAATATTTGTTAATTGTCTTTTTGTTTTGACTTCACCAATATTTAAAATCTCAATGAGTTCACCTCCTAGAGCTTTGTTTCCCTAGTGCATTGTGTTTAACTGCCTTGTTTAACTATCTCGAATTATCCAAACAGACCACGTAATAAGGCATTCAACTGGAGGAGAAGAACTTTTCCCACAAGTTTGTACGCGATAATAAAAACTTGCGGATGTTTTACATTTTTCGCGACGCACAGTTCTAGAAAGAGGGTTCTCGGGGCACACTCTCACCCCCTTTCCGGCGAATCTGTAATTAAGGATGCACTGCACATCACTCGAGCTAAGAGTCGTTGACAGCGGCAAAAGTCGCGCTGGGGCCCATGAGTCACTGGATGAGTGGGAAAAAAGTCAAATTTGTACCCACACTATATATCTAAGCCGAGTTCGCTACGAGCGCGATAAATCTTCCGTAGAAAAGTGCAATAACTTAGAGGAGAGCGGTTCCTTTGAGCTTTTCGCACAGTACATAATTTCGGGGCGCGAACTTAATTGCGCGAACAGTACACGTCAGAGCGTTACTTTGAATAATGGATACGGCATCAGAAACTGAAGCGGGCGGCATTGGGTCCGAAATTCCCAGCTTATGAGCTTCTATGTGGCCCTCTCATTGAGCTGTTCGTCTTGGTTTAGGGCCAATAAAAGCGGATCAAGTCCCTTTCACCGTCGAAAAAGCCCTGAAACGTGCACCTTCCGCCTGCCGCGGTGTCCTTCCACCTTCGAATGTCTGCAAACGAAATTTATGCAATTTTCGCTTCGGTTGAATTCTGCAAATTAAATTTGTTATATAAAAATGTTAATTTTTGGCTGTCCTGCGCTGGCCTGTGCTTATTTTCTGCATTTGCTGTTGCTGCTGTTGTATACGCATTTCAATTATCGACATTTGAGTGACTTTTATTGAATTTATTTGGTTCGCTTCACCTTCGGCGTTTGTCGAACGAATGAAATGGAAGCCAGATCGCGGTTTTTCGGCTTTAAGGTTATCAATTATTATTGTCACATTGTCGCAGATTGATTTGGGTTCTCGGCTTGGGGATTTCAGAGCGAGAGGGTGGATTCATGGCGGGTCCCATTTTCAATTCCCGTCAGGTGTTCAAATAAAAACCGATTCTATTGCTGTTGCCGGTTGAAATCCGTTTCCAAATTGCATTTAAATAGAGTTCTTGTGGAATAACCGACGCATATATTATGCCCAGAAATAAATCGAGTTGGGCTTACCCGAAGACTCGATCAATCCGAGAAGAGACTTGGGATGGGGAGTGCGAAATTGGGTTAGATATGCTAATCGATCGAAAGGAGGAGGGAATATTGATGAGCCGCACGTGAGAAGCGAATTATTCTTGGGCGCAATTATCGATTCGCAGTTATTAATAAAGAGAGTTTCCAGCTATGACTGGTGGGTTTGTTGACCTTTTCGAAGCCTATATTTCCCGCGCAGTCTTCTCCGCGGTTATATCATAACTCATTTTGTTAGCAACACCACCTACATTTAAATTGGGTCTCAGCTAGACCTTAACCCCGAAATCCAGTGAAACCGGCACCAGTTTTGCGGGCTAACGAAGACCGACCAAATTCGAATTCGCTTAGCGGCGATCTGCAATCGAAATCACAACTCCAGCCCCGCACACAATCGGAATGCAAATGACGCCCTCAGGCGGCAAACTCTTTTGGTAAAAAGAAAGGCGAAAGGGCGTTAAACTATATTTGAAGTCGCCCTGGGTCTATGAGCTGTACATTTGCAGACTTATCGCGCGAATTTCGACTGTCCTGGTTCAATGGCCTGGCGAAAAGTTTCTCCCCTGACGAGTGCTCGAGTGAATTGAAATTTAAAGTTTTCGCAAATGCCGCGGGCCGAAGATTGTTCAGCTATGAAAATCCACTTACACAAATTATGTTAATTACGATGAGCGGGAGGGAGGACTGTGGAGGATGGATTCTTATTAAATCAGGCTGGCCGAGCCAAGGGATTGCAATAAAGGATGGCGGGCAAAGGATGAGGCATAAGTAGCATAACTGACAGACAATCGGCAAACAAACAGATTGCCAAAAATAACAGCCGACGACGGTGGGCCACAGAATCCCACTGTGAATTTTATGGAGTCCCTAGCTTCTTTTGGCACTCTTTTGGGGCGAAGAGTTGACTGAGATTGAGGCTGTCAAAAGCCTTCGACTCAGCTCAATATTTGCACTCCGAAGCATTTGCCAGCTGGGAGTTAATTTCCACAGTCTTGGCATCTCCGCCTTGTACATCATTGGATTGCCTGACTCTGAATCAGACATCATGAAGGGCTCGGCAAACAAAGGCTGAGCAAATTTTGTAATCAGTTTTTGCCAAAGTTCTTAATGCATTTAAAATAAAGTGATATCCCTGCCTCACTAAATAGAGCCAGTCGCCGGGCTTGGAGTCCCAGAGGTGAGCCTCCCCAGGCGTTTCCACTCGTCGGTCCCACTTAAAATGCGCATAAAGAACTGCCTTGGATCGAAAGAATTTATTTGGTCCTGCACGCAAATTGTATGCTCCTTAGAGCCGCTGGCACGACGACGAACTTATTGCAATTGCTACAAATTTTTACATAAATTTACGCTATGACAACGCCCCCTCCTCGTCCTCCTTGTCCGCCTCGACCTCCTTGTCCGCCTCGTCCTCCTCGCCTTTCTCCAGTCTAGTTCTAGTTCGCATCCCTCTGTATCCTCGCATTATGCAAGGCCCGTTAGCATTCTCCCTCTTTTATGAGTTTTTTTAGCTTTCTGTTTGAGTAATTTTTTGCCAGGTGGAAATCCACTTTCAATTGTTTGGGGATCTGCCTTCGGCATCCTGGAGGTTTACATATTGCTCATTTCGACACCGGGGAGCGGTGGGCGTTGCGGGGCCGCCCCAACTTCTTATTGCCGCTGCCTGCTGAAGTGTAAACATTTTCGCAGAAGGTGTAAATAAAATCTTGTAAGGCGATGCGACTGCCGCCGGCATCCTTGGGAGTCTCCTCTTATCCTCGGCGGAAGTCTGCTAAGCTGATGCCGCTCCTTGATTGCTTGTTCCGTTCGCGATTGGGGATTGGGACGGCCTGTGTGTCAACAAATTTTCGCAAATAAGCTAAACACTAAACACTCGGAATATTGATGGGGCTTGCTGCGGGGGGCTGTTGCCATAGGCGCGTTCATTTAAATCTGGGCGATCCAAATGACAATGACCAGCAATTGGCCTAATGGCCTAGCCATCGATTTGCACCGAAATGTTGTTTATTTTTACGAGATTAGCATTAACGCGGTGGAGCTCGTTAAACGGGCTCGAAAATTGTCAGCGAACCGCAAACCGGCGCGTTCTATTTTCCACTTACGTGTACGAGTGTATGCAAAATTAATGCCAACAACTCAATAACTTTTAATAAATGAAAAACTTGACTGTACAGTGGGCTTACCGACCAATGGATGCGGTGCCAAAAGGTAACCCCAAGCCATTTATATTTAAAATATTTCTGCTAAAAGGCAATTTTGTTTAAAGAAAATTTACAAATGATTCTGAAACTTTAGGTCTTTGGTGAGGCATATTAGCTAAGTTTCGCCTGATTATTTTGTTTACTTCAAGTATTTCAGCTTAAACGGCCTTTTTAATTTTCAAAAATTCACTACTGTTTCTGAAACTTTAAACTTTTGGTGAGGTATCTTAGCTAAGTCTCGCCTGATTTTTGGTTCTTATTGTGGTCGGTAAATAGCTATCTTATCCATGGCATACGCTCAAAATTCGCCAGGGAAACCCCACCCTGGCACTTCCATTACCTTCCGCACAGCCGACTGCTCCCTTCATCCCAATCCCGTGCAACTTCACCAGCTGCAGGGGTTGCGAATGAAGAGGGGTCCTGTGTGGTGTCTATTTAATTACAATTGTCGCTGTCGCCGCAATCCGTGTCCTGTGCAACGGCAACTGCAATTAACGCACTCGGCCTTTGGGAACTGGCTGCTGGACGCTGTTAAATGCAGGATTCTGGATGCCGGGTGCAGGATGCAGGCTGCAGGATGCAGGATGTTCCTGGCTGGGAGCGCAGTATCGGAGCCGACCGTGTCTGGGTCCTTCCACGGCCTTATCTCCGCTGGGGGCGGGGCTGTGGGCTGGGCGATTATTTTACGCTCAATTATTGTTAAATATTTCACAAAATGCGAATATTTATTTTAACATGGCAAATTGGCCCGTTTCGAGCTGGTGTCATGTCCGTGTTTCGGTTTGCCGGCCGAGTGTCCTAATGAGATTGCAATTATTTGGCCATAAATTCGTATTATTCGGGCTTTAAAGTTCATGCTCTCCTGTGTGGCACATTTTTGCGTCGTTGTTGTTTGGTGTGTTGCCGCACTGCTGGAGAATTAACCCTCGTGAAATGACAGCGTTTAATTTAAAATTATGTATTAATTAATTTGCCCATAGCAGTGGACATTATAATTAAATGTTTAATTTATGGCTTCTAATGGGGCCGTTAGTCAAGCGAATATCTGTATAATCGGAGAGTTCAATAAAAGGGCAAAATCGGATTCGTGTGTGCGGAGACCTCTGATCTTTAATACCCTACAAGTTGCTGAGCCGAGTCAATCGTTGTTATTAAACTCGGCTTATTAAGTAGATGTCCTTGTGTGTCATATATTCTGTATAATCTAGGAACCAAGATTTTCAGAAAAGTTGTGGGCTTAGTATAAATTTGCCGACGTCCGCATTCACTTTTGTTCAGATATACGACACTCATTTTGATTCAAGTGATTTGAATATATTTATAAACTACATTGTATACCTGTTGCTTATAATTTTGTGTCTTGAGATTTCGGTACCGTAAAAAAACATTACATTTATGCTGCACTTCTTAGTTATGTGTGAAAACTACTTAATTCCTTATGTATGTAATGTAGACCGACATTTATGCTGCACTTCTTAGTTATGTGTGAAAACTACTTAATTCCTTATGTATGTAATGTAGACCGACTATATGGTATAGAATTACGAACAAAATGTAAAAACACGTATTATTTTTATTACCTAAAAGAATGCAGGTAAGTTCGCAGCAGCGAAAAGCATCAGAGAAATTCAAAAGACCATTCAGCATTTAAAACTGCCTTTTGTGTGGGCTCTTGAAGCACGCGTCGCATACTTTTAGGCCGAAAACAACGGGGCCAAACTCAAAGCACGGATCCCCGTTGAGGGGACGGGGCACAGTCACAGCAAATATTGAACAACATTGGCTGGGAATATTGAAATACTTTCGGCGACGGCGACTGATTCCGCACTTTGGACCCGGACACCCACTCCGGATAGTTTTTCTCCGTGTTTGTCTTCTGGCTTTTGCTGCTCCCCCATTGCAACTGGTGGTCCTTTTGGGGGAGTCCCTCCTTTCTCTGCTGTTTGTTTGCCCCGTGTGCAAACTGCATTTTGAGGCTGCCTTCGGTCCAGGAGCCAGCGAATTTATTGCAATCACGCACGGGATTTGTCGCTTTGGTTTTGGCCCGACTCGCGGCTGGGAATGGGAAAAAATGAAACCCCAAGGCGGGAAGGGAGCAGCGAAAACCGCAAAATACTGCAACTAAAATGCCGAAAACGCATTGCGCATTAAATTTAAACTAATTGTTCGGCATTTGTAATGGTTGCCGCTGCGGCAAACGTTTTAATTGCGGCTGCAGCATCAGCAGTGCTGCAACAACAGCAGTTGCAGCAAGTTATTGGCAGGCTACAAACGCAATGGCCGGGAAGAAAAAAGCCGAGTAAAAAATGTAAATTAATTTGGGGTCTGGGACTGTTTTTGCGGCAATTAATTTGAACACGCGGCTCCGCCTTTATTTCTGGTTCTGGTTCTGGTTCCGGTTTTGACTTTGCCATATGTGCGGTTTCCCCCAGCGAATCCCTCCTCCGCCTCCAGTTCGTGGGTGACGGCTTTATTTGCAGAGTGCAGTTGAAACGTGTAAGGTCTGTGTACTTTTTACCGAGGCTGTCTGCGCGGTGACGTCTATCCTGATATATTTCCCGGACGGCGGCCGAACAACGTCCGATTAAGGTGCCGGCGTTAGATTTTCACTGTTCTTCTCCAGACGACCGAGCGCAAAGGCAACAGTTGACCGACACTAATGCCCCGGACGGTCCAATATAAAGGGTCGCTTGTAGTTTCCCAACTGACTTTATTGGCTGGACTACACAATTACCTCACCCCGGGTTCCCTCTCCCAGATTCTGCTGACAACTCCCTCACTTTGGCCTTGGCTTGGCCCGCCCGTACAGCTGCTCCGGCGTCGGGATGTCGCTCACGAAGAAGTTGGCTGGAATGAAGTGGAATATCTTCTTCAGCACGTCCAGGAGAATGTCCTCGATGGTCTGGGTGATGACCGAGTACAGTGCATCCGCCAGCATGCGCCAGTTGTCATTGAAGAACTTGTTGGTGCTGTCCTCTGCGGAGGAAGTTGTCGGAAGATCAGGGATATCAGATCAGGGTACTAGGTATCAGAAGAGCGGCTACTTACCGAGTTGCTTATTGCCGTTAAACAGGTTGGAGAAGTAGGACTTCAGACCGTCCATCTTGAAGTCCACGTGCAGGCCGGTCACGTTGTAGAAGGTAAACCCGCCCTTGGAGTAGAGCCGCGTCTTCGTGTGCATGGTCACCGTCATGTTCTCCGCGTCCAGGAACACCTGCCCCTTCCCGTTCAGGGGGATGAGCAGGATGCGCCCGAACAGGCTGTAGTCGGCCTGCAGCTTCATCTCGGGCAGCGTGAACGTGGTCTTCCAACTGTAGTCCTTCTTGAAGACCCTGTAAAGGTGCTTCAGCGCTGACTCCACTCGGACCTGGACTGGTACTTACTGACTCTCCAGGACGTTCGTGTGCCCAAACCCGATGATCTTCACGTTGGCCAGCTCCACCTTGAGGTTGATCGCGTTGCTGTTGCCCTGGGTGATTCGGATGCGGTTGAGATAGAAGGGGTCGAAGCTCTTGATGCTGGTCAGTCCGGGAATGCCTGGAAATGGGAAGCGGATTGTGGAGTGGGAATCCTTCTCCGCAAGACTCTACCCACCGTCGTTGAGCTTATCGAACAGTTGCTGAATGCTGTGGGTGGAGCAGTTCACAAAGTCCTTCTCGGCTATCCTACACTCCTTGATGTAATCTGCTGCGGTTCGGTTAGAGTTTTGTTCGGTTCAGTTCGGTTGGAATCAGTTTCGATCCAGATTGAATTCGGATCAAGTGCGAGTACAAACAAAAAACACACAGAGAATTCAGAGAAACAAATCCGGTTTAGTGGTGGAATATTTTTGGCGGAATTCGTTCAGCAGGTCCCAGCTGCTAAGCTAGTTAGTAACAAATTTGGTTAGCCAAGACCGGGGAGAAACGAAGCTCTTTAAGGACTTAGTGTCTGATTATAAGTGTTACACCGCCGACCAATTTCGGCCACTTGACCTCGGGGCATTGGCACTTACGCGGCTCTGTCAAGAATCCATCGTCGCCTCGAACGACGCACGTGGTCAATGCCACCAGCAGCACCATCCGCTCAAACAGTGCGTTCATCGTGTTCTCCGAACTTCGGTTCAATTTTTGGGAAACTACCAGCACTGCCCAATGCCGACCAACGTCAACGAGCAGCAAATGAAAACTAAATGGAGCCAATTGCGATTTTCATGTTGTCTGCGCGCCATTCGTTCGGCGGAAAAACTTGATTTGAGTGGCTTGCGAAAATTTCGCAATCCCATCGGCATCGTTATCGCGCACCGCTGGATAGTTGGCCAATTGTCGGCCACCAAGAGATCAGTAGTCCGCCAGCTGAGCTCTCGCAGTCGAATTGCTGCACCCGCAGCCCGAGTCTGCATTTCGTCACCGATCACCAGCATCGCATCGCTTCGCATCGCATCGCCTCGGATCAGATTGGATGGCTGCGGGGAAAACTCGGGGAAAAGTCATCAATGAAAACAAATCACGCAAGTATGGAGTTGTGCCGATGTTGACACTTGACTACTGTGTTGTCGGATGCCTGGCTTGCAACACATCGTGCTCAAACCGTTCTGTCGGAGGCTTGGAAGCCCCAAACTGGGCCGCTCACAGGTAGAAACTGACAGAAAAACCAAGACTGCGAGGGTCAACAAGTTCAAGGGAATTACTGTCCGTCAACTTGGGTCTTAGGTCCAAGGAAAGCAAGACTTGCTTGGACGAGGCAGAGCTTAAGCCCATATATCAGGATAGTTGTCAGAGCAGTTCCGTCTAGTCCACTTGTGAGCCCTCCAAAGAAGTTGGCCAAAAAAGCTCTCGGAAAAGTCAGCAGTTTTTCTTTGCGCCGTTTGGAAACGCAATCAACTAAGTTGTAAAGAGTAAAAAAAGGTTTTATTGGATTAAATTAAAAAGCGAGTGGCTATAGGAAAACATGGTTAAGACATGTTACATTTGCGCTCTGATTGGATTTCTTAAAACAATGTGGAAAACACAACCGTCAAAATAAACTATTTTTATAATAAGGTGCAACATACGAATATAGTTTTAGAAACGTTCTTCTTAAGCAGTTGAAAAACAAAAACTTCGTTCGGCTTATCCCAATGTGATCAGTAATGTACACAGAGGTTGTCAGAAATGGCCAAGATTTGCAGTATAATGAAGTCCTAAAACAATGACCACCACATCGTAAGCAAATATTCAGGGTTGTAAAAAGTTTATAAGGGGTTGCTTGTCCTTTAAAACTCATAACGGGTCCGTCCGACCGTCCGGCTTTAATTCCAGCCCGAAGTCAGGCTTCCCATGCAGCCAAATCCGGCAAAATTTCTGGCAAGTTAATTTGCATGAAGTGGAGGGGCAAACAGGAAAAGGGCAGCGAGACAAATAAAGGCGCAACCGGTGAGAGAGTTCCCCGGCGGGGAAGAGCAAATATTAATCCGCAAAAAGGAATTGTCACAAATTGTGTGTCCGGGCTTTTCTTTTTACCAGCGGCGTAGTCCCTGTCCCTGTCGAAGGGACCCACTTGCGCCGGGGCAAACGACCCCTTTTCGGCCAGGCTGCTGCTCCCGGAGTTTCTGCGTCGCTCTGCTTTTTTCACTGTTGGGGCAAACAACAGCTGCAGCTGGGCCAAAAAGGACAAAAGGACTTGGGAGCTGCGTGGAGAGGGCTGGGTCTCGCTGATTGTTTCAAATCGCAAGTTTGGCTTACCTTTTGGGGAATTAATTTGCCAAATAAACGCTGACAAAATGCAGGCAACTGGACAAGGACAAAGCCAAAAGGGCCGGCCGTGGCCAGGATCCAACTAATAGGATTTTGATGATAGTTGCTCGGCTGTGCTTCCTTTTTTGTCCGAGCAGAGTCCTCCTTCTGGCATTGCAGTGTGGCTGCCATAATCAATTTTTGGCCAGTTTCTGTCGGCCACTTCCCTCCAACCGCCCGCTCCCTCCGAATCGCCGAGATGATTGTAGCTCGTGACCCATGAAATGAGTTTTGCCATGTGTGAGACCAGTTCGGGGGGCCAGTGCAAAAGTGGAATGGGCAGAAGAACGGCCAACTGAGCCGCAAAACCAAAAGCTGCGGCACATTTTGTATTCATGACTTTCTCTCGTTTTCCCTCTGCAACCCGCAAACATAAATGCCAGGGTTACGAACAGCATTTCGGAACGTTTTGCTTAGCTGTTACGTTTCCCTAGTTCATGGGAAAATAAACTAAAAACCAATTATTCGAACTCGTATCCCCCATTTGTGGTTGTTTGTTAGGGGCGAAAACCAGTTGGTTTTAAAATATCTAAAAATAAAAATAATATCTACAAATCAGTTGTTTGTTATTTTATATAAATGTATATTTAATGTCTGGGAAAAAATCCTTTGGATGTGCAGCCCTGGTAACAAATAAATCTCCCTTTCTCTTCTTCCCGTTTCCCTTTCAGCCCTTTTTATGTGCCTGAGATTGTGGTGGCATTATAATTAATTTTGGTGGCCCAAATATGTAAATTTTGATTACGAGAGCAGTAGAAACCGAAATGGAAAATAATGCGCGCAAATATTACGCATACGCACCGTCAGCGAAGGCGGATCCCCCAAAAAACGGGTTCTGCCCTCTAAGCGGCTTAAATTGACAGGTTTCCGCAAAGTGGAGCTCTCCTCATCGAGAACATGTGTGACCGAGCCGGACGTCCAGTGAGTTCATCAACTGGACTGCAACTTTGACTCGTTATGACCGGCGAAAAGTTTCGGCTCCCTGTTGTCCTTCGTTAGGATTTTTTACTCGCGACTTTCCGACTGCAACTTTCAATGAAATTCCATAATAGTTTTTGTGAGCGCTGCCAACTTTGCATAGATTAGCTGCAAACAGAATATAAAAAGCAGGAGCAGCGTTGAGAGGAAAATGCTGCCTGGGGCGTAGCGCTATGCTTGACTTTTGGTGAATTATTTAATTAGCGAGCAGCGGGACAACTTTTTCCGAGTGCTTAATTAATCACTGCGGCTTTCCGCGTTTTAATACGATCCTCTTATTTTCGCAGTGGGTTGTTTACTTTACTCTTGTAATGCCCATATGAAAAATTAAGCGATCGATTTCCAGACAACAAAAGTACGCCCCCTTTCAAAGTCTGTAAAGTTTTCCATTCAAACAAGCCGCGTGTATTTAGACTATTTATAAACAAATTTTCATATGGGATTTTCTTTAGCTCCAAACAGAAGCACAACAAGAAATCCAAGTAAATTTGCCCAGACCCAACAAAAGAGTTTGACTAAGTCTACGCCCAAAGAAAACATATTAGTTGTGTGCTATATGAAACCGGCGGGCCGAACCTAGCAACTAAAACTATAAATTTGGCCCTTGGAGCGAGCAGATGACGGACGGCCCAGAGCAAACTGAGCCAGGCAAAGTTTAGAATAAACACCGACAAGTTCTCGAATTGCCGACAGGCCAAACGTCCTCATATCCATGACTGTATTCATATGCTGAGATGTATCTGTGCTGCCTGTTTTGCGTAAGGAGTTTGGGCGAATGTCTTGCCGAAGTCATCACCGCCATCCTAGGACACATCATTTTCGGGAAACCCTGCAAATAATTTGAAAAATCAACATCTGACTTCCAGACGTCGCATGGCGACAATTTGCCCCAAAAGAAGACTTGTGTCGAAGTTTGCACTGCATTTACGCCACCCGAAGCCCCACTTCCTGGCGCGATTGCGGTGATGGTGATGGGTTGGCCTTGAAAAGTCAGATTTGGAAAACATACTTTTGCCATTTTCGAAAATCGCACTTTGGCTCCTTGTTGCCTTGTGTCCTTGTGTGCATCGTGCTGTTGTTGCTACTTGAGCTCTGAAGTAGATGAAAGGCTTTTGGGATCTGCCGGGGCGTAGACCTGAACGCGAATCGGGGTTGTTGGTTGTTGTTTGCTTTAGCGGCGAGTGCGGTATCTTTTTTGCTGCCATTCGACTCTAAACTCGTGTAGCTCCCAAGGCTCAAGTGTGTTTGCCAATTGAAATGCTAGACAAAGTATCTCTATGAGGGCTTGGCGTGGGTCGGTGACGATGTCGATGAATGCCGCAGATACACAGATATATGGATATAAATGGGGTAGCTCGCAGCCGCGAGAAGGGAACACTGTTTTGAGAGTTAAAACAACAATTAGTTTTACGACTTCTCGATGACTAAAGCTGAATGCCTGAAAGTGTGCAGCACTGTTCCTTTACTTCTCAGAAAACGGGTCAATTTTTGATTTTGTTGTTTATGGAATAAAAGGAGTTAAGGTGGTTTTTAATTTTCAATTTGTATAAGAGGTTTGTTAAAATCGGGTATCGTTTAGATTTCATTTCAATCGGAGCATTGCATTTGTTCATAAGTTTCTAACATGTTCGTTTATGTCATTAAAAACAATGTATCAAGCGTTATAAACACTTGGCAATCTGCCTTGCGATGCGAAGGCTAAATTAGGCATCGTTTTACGTAATACGCTTTACGACCATTATATTAAGTGCATTAGCCAATCAACAATATGTGCGAGATTCCGTAAATGTTTGTATATAGTTTTGACATCAATGCAAAGTTCGTACTGGAAAAATAGTTCAATGGCTATTACTTTTTGTCTACGTTGCTTATTTTCGCGTAATTTACATATTAAATAGGTGGTTTAATCTTAAAAAAGAAATGAAAAGAGTAATGAATGAGATTGTGTCATAAATAATATTATTAAAAAAAAATAAGAGACATTTATTTAGCAAGTTCAAATGGTTTACATGACAGCATCGTCGTATTACGCACAAAATTTGCTTCTGGTTTGGTAACGAAAATTTTATGCTGAGCGCGTGAAAATTAATTAAAATATTCCCTTGTAACTGGCAAGCGCCGTCGGAGCATAACTGAATTTTAATTGAACGCAATCAATGCGAATTTATGAAAGCTGGTAGCCAGTGGGCCAGTCGCCCTCCCACCTGCAGGCAACCGATTCAAGTCGGTCCAAAGGATCCCTGGCAATTGGCGTTAATTTGTCTGTCGAGAAAATATTGAACAGAAAAATCAACTTTACCTTTCGGATTTCAATTGAACTGCGACCTGTT